ATCCCCACGTCGTATGCCTTAGAGAAATTATCTATATTCTGACCAAAATCGTTCAGTAGAAAATCATTGAGATGTATAGAATGGTAACTAGCACGTTTCAAGCCGCTTTTGTTGTTTGAATAAATTAGACTTTCGAAGAAATCGATGTTTTTGGACACATATCTCCTCGTTACCTCAAGTAAATTATCCGGATTATGAATTATAGAATTTTGTTCGTCTGCACTCATCAACAGGTTTACTGCTGCCAACCTTCTACTTATACGACAAATATTATCATATGTACCTTTTATTTGTTTGCAATGATAATTGTGTACTGTTGACAATAGATTTCTATCAGGAAGAGGATTATGTGATACTGTCAACAATTGGATGTAGTAAAATAAAGACCACAATGGCGAAAAACGTGCGGCGTCAAACTCGTACATAGTGCTCATCTAAAACAAAACGCAACTTATGATTAACGTTTGAAAGGAATTGGCCATTTGTACGCAAACTGAATATACCCTAATGATCTATAGTTAGGTTATGGAATGACATATGCTATAAATATTGGAATAGCTAAGTCACACCCTCAACCTAAGATAAGAGAATTCATATTTTTAGATTTAATAGATCCACCGACCTTAGTCAGAATGTAGCAATATAGTTAATTATTTTACGTTGGTGTAATAAACGAAGCACTTCCTTTTAAATTCCAAACAAATTTACACAGATAACAAAAAAATTAATTCGACTTTTTGTATATTTTTTTATTATGTTTTGAATCTAAGAAAACTCTAAAAAAACAAAATTGTGTCCGTATTAATAAAGAATATGACTTAACGCTATAATTTGGTTAAATTAAAACAAACTGCGAAAATATTGAATTATTTATATATACACAACGGTACAAAAATATGTTTTGGTCGCATTAGTAGCATATTAAATTTCATACCAAATAATATTACAAGTTAACATTTTAAAAATAATAAGACACTATTATTAGGTCAAGTATTTTACAACGGCAAAGTGTGTTTCGTAAAAAAACTGATAAAATTTGATTTAGTAACTTCTTCCCCGTTCCAGATATAGCTATTTTGTCTAGCCTTTTGTAACATTTTAAGTAAAAATAAGTGTACTATTCTTAATGAATCACTCTGTATAATTACATTGGGGTTTTTGGTTGACTTGTTAACTCTTCTACATCTATTTCCGTTGCCACCTTTACTGATTGTCGTTAATTTGGTACCCAAAATACTTCGAACAGTTCTCGACCATCTTCTCTGCACTTACTGGCACACCTACTGTTTGTCTACTTATTCTATTCGTCATAGTTACTCCACCTCAAATTAAAAAATCCGTTATATTTTCGTTTCAATATCTTATACACTGGCAAACTTGTGAAACCCTTAATATTAGAATAATATATTTCTTTTATTATTTCAATAATTTTTTTTTAGAAACCTTATATTTTAGGCGTTCCTTCCACAATATCCAACATCTTATCATACATGTTACGTCATCTCTAAAGCAAACATTCGTCTTCAATTTTCGAAGCCTCAACATTCGAAGATATCAACTTAGTTTACCATGTCGCACCCATACGTAATCTGAGCGACAGAATTGAAGAAGATTTGGTTAGTAGAAAAAAGAGTGCTAAAATGAGGTGGGATGAAGCAACGTTACATTTAGATTTGTTTGGAAATAAATATAAGACATTTAAAGAAAATGAAAACAGCTGGAGTGAAAAAACTATTTTTGATGTCAGAAGTGACGCCATAACAATTAGAAATACAACGAAGAAAAGCAATATGATAGGAAAGAATTTTAAAGATTGATAAGTACTCGGTACTCGTTCGCTGGACTGGTAATATGTTTTAAGCAGTGAATACAAACACATATTTTTCACTATGCCAATTTGAATATCCAATATTTCAAGTACAATTAATGATATAAAACATTGATAGGAAATCACCTGTTCCTGGGAGACACCGTCGTACATGATGATCGTTTCAACTGTCTGTTTCAAATCCACACTGCTGTCCAAAAGTTCCTGGGTGAGCCTCAAATGGTGAAAACTGTTAATCATGTACGTGCACATCAAATGATCTTGTAGGTATTTATCTCTCTTAATGGTTATATTGTCGGTTTTCTCATAGCCGGTTTCGATATCGTATGTTTCAAAAACGTTTGTGTCCATGTTCAGATCGGTGTCGATCTCGATTGTTTCGATAACGTTTGTCTCACTCACAACAGAACTTTTCGACCTTTTACCAAAGGCCCTTGTACCTGACAATACTCTTTCACTAAGGCCGGCCGTAACAAACGTCACTGAAACTCCACATAACAATACGATCACAGCCAAAAATTTTATCTGCCCGTTTTTAGTGCGCGGCATGACGATGATAGTATCTTTACAGTAGAAAATACGTTGAACGAAAGCTATGGCCAAAACACGAATAAACAATACAGATAGGCGAGATTCTAGTTATTGTACGAAATCGCAAAACTAATCGCTTAGTTGTTTTTTGTTTTCTGCCAAATCATATTTGTCTAAGTGCTCTGCATACTGTTTTTAAACGCTTCGTTAAAAAAAGTATAATAATTCATGGATTTGAATATCAAATAAGTTTTATCAGGTCAACGTAAACAGTTGTTTTCAACTTTAAACTATTCGAGTGCAATATTAAACATTTTGCACGAAACGCTAATTCATTTTTTTTAAGAATTATTCGTTTTTGGTAACAATTCGTTTCGTAGAAAACTATTGTTGTATGAAACGAGAGTAACTTTGTATATTTAAATAGTGATCTGGAACCACAAGACTGGAAATGGCAATGGATATTTCTAATAGTTTTTACCTGATCGTAAAGCTTATAATATTAGGACTCAATATTCCTATATTGGATTTAAAGTTTTTTTATTTCAATGTTAACAAAAATCGTCAATAAATGAAAATGCGCTGAAAAAAATGTGCTAGACTTTTATTAGGTTTTATATAATCACATTATCCTGACGTTGAGCAACATTTAACGTTGGAACTAAATACCTTATGTGCTATATCCAACTGGTAATGGATCATCCTGTATATTAGATCACACACTAACGCTTATGTGTGAACATGTTAGAACACACACTTACACATATGTGTTATAAAATACCTGTATAGAGAAGACCTCCGAAATAATAAATAAGAGCCACCACACGTGCCGTTTTCGTGCAAAACATAGATCAGCATTTAATATATATAATAAATATATATATATATATATATATATTGAACATACTTATCATATTAAAGGGATATTGAAATTAAAAGCAATAGCAAAACTTGTTCAATGTTTGCAAAAAAGGTTTTTTTTTTTAATTTATTGTTTAATTACAGAGTTTCTCTGTTTGAACAAGGACGAAAATGTTATTATGCTGAAAAAAGGTTATGAGAGTTTCGGGCTTTCAGTAGCTCATACAGAAGTACAATTAATAAAGTTCGAGTCCAACATACATTAAGTAGTTACCAAATTGACAGAGATGATCGGCGTCACCGCTGATGAAATTTTCGATTTTACCGGCGCGTGTGAAGGAGTGCAGCTGGAAACCATCAAAAACCGATTAGAAAAAAAATACTATAAATTCCGCACAACAATTCACAGACTGCATTAAAACATCTGATAAATGATTCTTAAAAACGATGTTACGGCTTACAAAAATGGTTTACTTAAATCTGAAGCAAAATAGTAATAGGAATGTTTATCAGCTAGATGGTGTTAAGAAAATCGCTGTATATATTGCATTATTAGTATTGTATTGCTGTTTGTATGTATCTGGCAAGTTTTGACATTTTTTAATTATGTAGCGATACTCTTTTTTATTTTTTTTGTGATTGAGATTATTTTATTGTGTGAAATTGATGGTAAATGATGATGGTGTTTATCATTTGTTTTTGCATTTTATGTATAATTGTATATCATATTTCGTATTATGTATTTTATTTGATTATATATATTTTTTATGGTTCAGACCGCAGAGGTACCAGTTTAGGTAGCAGGTCTTTTTTTTATAGTGACCGGAATTCATTTAAAACCGTCGCTCCCGGAAAAACATTGAATCATGGATATGTTATAGCATTACGAACATATAACCAACATGATTTTCCGATCGCCCCCAGCCTAATAACATATCCATGTTAATGTGCAATTTCATACTTATGTTATTATTACATATGGGAACATATTATATTCGATTGTACGATACTTTTGTTTAAATCCTAAAAACATCATATTTCCTTCTTCTTTCAACACAACCTAACCATCTTGATTTATCTCAGACCTCACATCCACTTGATTTTTTTTTATTCTAACTACTTACATTCGCATATGGTTATTGCGATTTGCGATGTATTGTTATATATAATGTACTCGGACAACACGTTTTTTTCTATCCATAACAAGATTCTTTAATTTATATCATAATTTCTAAAATGTATTAAATTTAGTCTATTAAACTACACTAATAGTGAGTACAAAAATGAACTACTAAAAAAATTACTATTTATTTGTATGTATTTGTTATTGAAAAAAAAATTTTTTTTTGCTCACAAATAAATTAATCTTAAATTACCATTTTTTAGGCGGTTACGCAATACTCTGATATATATCGTCAAGAAACAAACAAAAGAATAACATTCCAATAAAAACCAAACATTGAACATATTTACTTGTTAAAACAGCTATTTGTATCTTATGAAATCTGGTATTTGCCATAATATAAAATTTGATAAAAATTACTCTAATCCTTGAAAAAATTATTTAATTAATTATTTAAATTAAAAAGGCAAGCACAGTGTAGCCAGGGCATAGTAGGGATTATAACAAATAGTAATAATTTCACTTAAGAAAATGACTTCGATGACTAATTTTTATTTTTGTTTCCAACTCGGTTTACACCATGGTTGTTTAGCTATAGAATTTTGTAAATTAAGAACAATTTTGATTATAAAGACTACTTACCTAGTTTCTAGTCTAAATAAACAGAAGGCATACACCAACCTTACATTAGTTCACATGCGAAATTAAGACCGATGTGACATGGGACATTTGTTTTTTTTAATACAAAGGTATATTTTTAAAATAATTTACTATTTTCGAGAGCATAGACATTATTATATTATTATTATTAATAATCTGTATGTTATAAGGGTTTTTAAATATTTAATTATTTTAATCTTAACAAAACATTAGTAATAATTCATATAATTATAACTTAATAATCATATTGATTATCTTGAAAAAATTATTTCCGTTGAAAAATGTTTTAATGCGGCCGATGAATTGATGTGCGGAATCTATAGTTTTTTTTTCTATTCGGTTTTCGATGGTTTCTAGTTGCTCTCCTTCAGACACGCCGGTAAAATCGAACGTTTCATCAACTTCGACATCGAGATCTTCTGCCAATTTCGTAACTATTGTATTTATGTCGGAATCGAACTTCATTACTACATCTATTTTGGATCTAGGAACCCAGAAAAAACTCTTATAACCTCTTTCCAGTTTAATTACATCTTTGTCGTCGTTCAAACTGAGAAACTCTGCGAAGTCGGTCAAAATTGCAAGCCATTCTTGCATGTAAGATTTCACCAAATTGAATTCATGTAGGTTAATCAAAACGATCATAAACTTAAAGTGGATCTCGGAAAACCGCGCCATCATGAGTTTAAGGAAATTTATGCACATCGTCTGGCATTCTACCAGATAACTGAAGTTCGAATTATCTCGGTGAAAAATGCGAGCTTCGTTGTAGGAATTACTAGCATTTTCGGATAGCTTTCCCCAGTTGATCCCCACGTCATATTCTTTATAGATATTACTTATATTCTGGTATAAACCAAAACCGTTAAGGAGCAAATCATGGAGAAACAACGAATGGTAACTAGCTCGTTTCAAGCCGCTTCTGTAGTTTGAACGAATGAGACTTTCGATTAAAGCGATGTTTTTGGAAACATATGTCCTCGTTTTTTCAAGTAATATATCCGGTTTACCATATATTTCTAGGTATTCGTTTGCACTTAACGACAGGTTCACTGCTAACCTGTTGTTTTGGGGACAAGTAGCATCATATTCATCCTGTATTAGTTTGCAGTTATATTTGTGTTCTGTTGACAATAGACTTCTATCAGGATAAGGGTGATGAGGTTTATTCAACAATTGGAGGTAGTAAAATAAAGCCCACAACGTCGGCGAACGTGCGGCGTCCAACTCGTACAGAGTGCTCATCTAAAACAAAATGCAACTTATGATTAACGTTTGAAAGGAATTTGCAAACGTAATAGACCCTAATGATCTATAGTTAGGTTATGGAACGACATCCGTAATAAACATAGGAATACCTAAGTCGAGACAATTAATATGTTTTTATTCAATAGCGTCGCCGACCTTATATATATATATTTATACTTAATGAGATAATAATAATGACGTCAGCACTGTGACACTAAACGTGACGAGCAAATTTTCAGAATGACCCCCAGCCATAAGACATATCCATTGCAATTATTTTAAGAAAAAAATAATGTCCTATCCTTAATGAATCACTCTGTATAATTGGTTTTTTTGGTTGCCCTCTTAGCTCTTTTGCATCTATTCCCGTTGCCACCTTAACTGACTGCCACGTCGTTAAATACCCAAAATACTTCAACCCGTTCTCATCCATTTTTTTGTACAATTACTGGCACACCAACAATTTGTCTTACATGTTCATTATTTATTCTATTCTTCATAGTTACTCCAAATTCAAAAATAATGTATATTTCCGTTTTAATATCTTATCCACTGTTCAACTAGCAAAACCATTAATGTTATAATAATATATTTTTTAATATTTCAATATTTTATTTTAGAGTCCTTATACAGTTTCCTACACATCATTCAACCACATCTTATCTCCATACTAAGGTCGTCTCAAAAGCAAACATTGTTCAATTTTCGGATCTTAATCTCTCCAATCTACCAACCGGCGATTACAATAACATAGCTAGAGGAAATCACCTGTTTCTGGGCGACATTCTCGTACATGGTGATCGTTTCAATCGTCTGTCTCAAATCCGCATTGCCGTCCAAAAGCACCTGGGTAAGACTCAAATGGATAATACTGTTAATCATGTACGTGCATCTCAAGTTCAGATGTAGCCTTGGATCTTGTCTGAATGTTATATAGTCGGTTTCCTCGCAGCCGGTGTCTATAACGTTTGTGTCCATGTTGAAATCGGTGTCGATGAAGTCCGTATCCGAAAAATCGCTTATATCACGATTCATCGGCCCTTTAACACAGGGCAGGGTTAAATTATTACCAGCCATAACAAACGTCACTAGAACTCCACAAAACAAAACGATCACCGCCAAAAATTGTATCTGCCCATAATTAGTGCACGGCATGACGGCGGTAATATCTTTATAGTGTTAAATACGTCAAACAAAAGCAATGGCTAACACACAAATAAACAATACAGCTAGGCGGGATCCTAGTTGCTGGTTGTCGTTCGACACCCCAAAATTAATGGCTTAGGCGTTTTGCATTTTCTGCCAATTCTTGTTTGTCTAAAGTCTCGGCATACTGTTTTTAAACGCTTCGGTAAAACAAAACAATGTCAACATAAACAGTTTTATTTTTAACTCTAAACTACGTTATGTGTACGCTAAGCTTATCTTGATTTATTACTAAAAGCACACTATGTAAGTACAATGCACAAAAAGCTATTTACAAAAATTGCTGGATGCTCAAATACATGACAAAAAAATTGCCACTAGACTTTCATTATATAATCATATTATCTGTATCGCGTTTAGCCTGACGTTGAGTCGTTGAGCAGCATATTGTTATCGTTGGAACTAATAGTTTATGTGTTATATCCAACTGTTAATGGATCACCCGGTATATTAGAACACACACTCACACATATATGTAATACAATTTTTTTTACAGTATATACTCGTTTAAAGTCAATAAATTAAATAATAATTTAAAAAAGGTGTATTGTTGGTTAAAATGTATGTATGTTTTTCAAATGTTTGTTATAAAATGTTATTTTTTATTTGTTCATATATTATGCATAATATATTTGGTTTATAATGTTATAAGTCATAATAAAGTTTTAAGAACTCATTTAATTCATTTTATATTTCTTGTACATTATTACTTGTGAAAGCTTAATTTCAGAAACATACTACTGACACTTATATACACATGTATATATTTTATACCTAACATTGCCTAGACATCTCTAGAAAACCCGGCCGTGCCTTAGCCCGAAATTAACTTTGGTTAGACTAGTCATTAGGCTAAAGGGGTAGTATTATACGCTTGACAACAGTCAACAATTTGTGTAAAAAAATATATAATTCGGGCGGAGGGGAGGGGCAGTGCTCGTGTTCCCGGTGTCCCTCTCCTAACTACAACGCTATAATCATGTAAAACTATGAGATTAGTGTTAATGTGAATTTTAGCGTTTGGAACATATTTTAGCAAAATACACTCTGAACACTGTTGTACAATATTCTGCATTCAAAACATTTTAACAACAGTATTGTAGCATTTAACATGTTTTCCAAAAACATGTGTCTTGTGAAACGTATGGATAACGTTCAATTGCTACCTGGGAAAATGTGTGGCTTACGTTAATAAATAACGCACGTTTAGATTATCTAACAGAAAAATATAATAATTGAAATCTAGTTTTGGTGGAGAGAAAAGCGTATAATAGTGTTAAACGTTAATGTATTTACTATGTACCAAAACATCATCGCGTTAAACAATTGAATGGTTCGATAACGGTTCGGACAGCGTTCGGACTACTGTAAAATCGACGTTTCCAAACAACGTTCGCATGTGTTGGACAAACGTTTTTGAACAATAAATACTGTTTATCTGTATTTTCGGAACTGTCGACGGGTACAGGAAGTTTGGTAATATGAGGGTCGAGTAGTATGTGTAATAGGTCGACGTAAACTCTTTGCCATCCAACACGATCGGCGAGGTGGCGGACACGCCAAGGGCGTTCGACAAACGGCCAAGCTCTAATTGAATGTTGCTTACTACCATTTGGCTTTGCACTTCGTCGTACAGGTCTGCTGTGTTCACGTGGAAATTTGACAGCAAATACTCGAACGTGCGGTCTTCGGTCAAGTCGAAGATCATCGCAAACTCGGTGAGTATCTCCAACCACTGTTCAACGTAACCGATCTTGTTTTTCTTCAGCATCACCGCCATCAAGGTGTCCGAGCGCACTGCTATGACCATTTGTCTCATGTACTCTAAGTGCTTCAAAGTTAGCTTTAACATCATGATTTTGACGAAATCCACGCACATGGTCTGGTACTCGATCAGAGGTCGTAGTTGGTCGGCGAGTAAATCTTCTAAGCTGCGAGCCCTCTTCAATGCTGCTTTCAGCCTTTTCGCAATGTCGTTCCAGACCACCTGTACATTGTACGCGATACTAAGATAGCGGACGTCTCGACTCGACCCGAAATCGTTGAGGTACAAACTCCTGAGAGATATCGACTGGTCGCTAGTGTACCGCAGTGTCTCCGATCCGCGGTTCAACTCCATCATATGGTTGATGGACCAGATATTTGTCTTGACGTGTCTCGTTATTTCGTTGAAACACCCGAGCGGATTGTCTTCCATCAGGTCCATGCATTCTTTTTCTTCAATTGGTAGTTTGCCATCGAACCTGTTGTTTTTGCGACACGATTGCACTCCGTGTTCCATTTGGTCCGAAATCAACGCGTGTGCTTTGATCGCCCTCTCCTTGAATTCCGATTCCGTACGCCCGTCCCCGGCAAAGCATTCGGGATATTCACTCAACAAGTTTATGTACAAATAAAACGACCACATTGTTTTCATTTCTTCGGCGCCGAACTTGAGCAACGTGTCCATCTAAAACATAAACCGTGGCGGATACAATTGAAAGGATGACCTAGGCAACGTTGCATGTGACTTTTTTTGAGACCGGCTCAAATTTAGATGGTAAAGCTCCCCTATACAATTTTAAAAATGTAACGTGCAACGTTGCTCCAGCCGTTCGTTTAAGTCTGTATAAAAGATCTGAGATCTATGCTAATCGATTGTCTTTGATTTTAACCAAAACGATTACATTGCTATTAATTTCATATCATAACTCGATACGTGAATTAATTATGAATTCATGACTATCATTGATTTGTGTTTACTTATTCATAAAATACGCAAAATTACATCTTGAATCTGTCACTTTGGCCGAGTCTAAATAAAAATGTAGCTAACCTTAGCACAAAATAAGAGATTTAATAAGCGATATTGCATATGAAACGTTACCTTTGATAAATTTCACAAGCTATAAATTAATTTTAGAATTTTAGAATTAGATCAATGCACAAGTTATTACTATACAAGGTGATCATTCTAAAGTCATCCACTAATATCTTAAATGATTTAACCAGTAATTGCATTTTGTTTTGTTGTGATTTTATACAATATGATCTCAATTTTTCACAAACGTTTATGTTTTCAACCTCCTACCAAATGAGTCATTTTTATAACCGATCAAACCCTATAATATATTGAGTGGATCACTTTTAAATGATCACTCTGTATACTATGACAATAAGTTTACAAAGCTGTCTAAGTAAACCGAAGACCCCATTATAGAATTAAATACCTGTGTCTGGACTGTAGTGTCATACGAAGTAATCTTCTTAACTGCTGTATCAGTGTTTTCGAAATGCTTTAAAAGCAAACCGGTAAGACGTACATGGTACAAACCGCTTAGTACATACGTGCACTTCAAATCTTTTTGCTTGTTCCGGCGGGTCGATTCCACTAGTTTCTCGTCTCTAATTGAAATCTCTGTTGGCAATTCACCCTCGTAGCCAGTGTGTATCATCATTAATTCGTTATATTCTTGATCAGATCGCCGTGATGACCATAATATATTACCCCCACCCACTGGATGGTATAGTAGTACAATATCCATTAAAATAATCGCCGCCGACAGTTTAGCTTGCACCGCGTTCATGAACCACATAATTTTTTTAAATTACATATTAAATTTAACGTTTGTAATATTATCAAAAGAGCTGTTTGGTTATATTGTGATAGAGAACTGAGCTACTGAAAACCAAACAAGTGACGATTGATTTCCGCAAAGTGTTGTTCCAAAGAACCTCAACGCGCCTTAAAACAACTTTGTAAATACTCGCGATTTAGTTTCGTGCAAATCAAACAAAAGATGCGATAACATATTTAGTAAAATGCACACCTAAAACAAACGCAGATTTATTAAAACTTGAAAATATAACACATAAGGATAACGTAATGAAATACACCTTTCACTACGAAAAATAATAACGGACTAAGGACTGATGATAATGTAGCATTACTACCGATATACAAGGAACTCAATAATTACTGAAAAGTGCAATTTTTTTTTATAAAAACATCTGGGAATATAAACCCCGCTAGTTCAATGACTTAACTACACCTATGTTTACACAAACAATATATTATTCATAACCGATTAATTTTACAGCTTAGGATGATACCACTGTACTACAGTCTCTACTCTTACGCTAAAAGTTTACTTTCACACTAAAATATATTTTGTTATTATCCAAATTTTGTAACTCCTCTATTAAATAATTTTGCGCCCTCGATAGGAAGCTTCGGCTCCTTGGATTTTTTTTTTTTTTTTTGGAGCTCAGGATGGTAATAAAATCATTTGTATCCTTAACGAAAATGGAACGACTTGGCAATTCTTATGTCCGTCACTATTGCCTATGCGGATTCGAGTTTGCCCTTAAGATGTTATAAATAACGTTTTTTTTTAGTTGTCCAGATGAACTGATTAAATTTAGGAGGGAATGTTGGAATTGGCTATAGGGAAAAAGGGAGGATGGGATAGGAAACTCTCCCCTTCCTTGCTCCCTTATTGACTGATCCACTTGTCTTATTCATCCTCTCCCTGCCAACAGGCATGAAGCGATATGAAAGTTAAGTTTTTTATTAATTTAAGAGGTTAATAGGTTTTTTGACATGAATGTGTCTTATATTCGTCTTGCAGCCTCCACATTTTCATGATCAATTTACTTTTCTTAATGGGAAAAACTAACGATTTGTTTTTAGTTACAAACTTACTCAGTGTAATCATGTTTAATGATCAAATGCTTTAATTATATACATGTTTAAATGTGTTTTAATTCTTAATTGCAAACTCCTAACTACCACTACCTGTTAATTACCAAATGTATTTTATAATTTAATGATTCCGTTATTTTTCAAAAATAAATGAGGTCACAAAACTATTCTAAGCTGTAATTAATTAAGTTGAATAAACATCTTTGACTTAACTCCAGTTTTGGATAATCTCGGCTGTCATCTTGAATAAAGACTCACTGATAATTTGCCATAGTTGTTGTTAGGTTTCTATTTGCTTACCAATCATGGTGATGATTTTGAAACTGACATTTTTAAACGAGTCTCTCACCAACTTCACGAACGATTGAGCACTCTTGATACTGTAATTCTCTGTAGGATTGTCTCGAGCTTTCTGGGTGTTGTACGTGTAGAAAAACTCTTTGCCATCTAATATCATCGGTTCCATGGCATCGCAACCGAGCAATAGCGACAAATTGTCGATGGCTGTCATTAAAATATTAAAGATACCGTTGTTTTCCGTTTTATTGTACACGTGTACGCCGTCGAAACTATCCACCAAAACATTGAACAAAGAGTCATCGGTTAAATCTAATATGAGTGCAAATTCGTTTAAAATGTTCTGCCACTCCGTAACGTATACTTTTTCATTCGCCCGCCGTGGTACGGCCGGAACAGCCGGGTTCAGATTCGATAGTACCTTTTGATTCAAGTACATGAGATGTTTCAACGTAAGCCGAAGCATAATGAACTTAACGAATTGAATGCACAAGGTATGGTATCCGACCAGAACCGCCATCCCACTTGTTGTTAGCCAATCCATTCGACGCGCGTTAGCCAAAGCTCTGTGCAGCGTGCCGCGCACATTATTCCAAACGACCTGAACGTTAAATGCGATCATCATGTAATCGACGTTTCTATGAGATCCGAAGTCATTGAGATATAGATTTGTAAGCGACATGTAAGCGGCACTACCCCACGTGACGATGTCCTGGTTGTTCCTAAGCAACAGCGCGTTGATGTTGGTGATATTATTCAGCACGTCCGTCATGAGTGCGTCTAAATTATAAATTATCGCGGGATCTACGTCGTAGTTAGTGGGATCGAATTCACCCCCTGGGCGACACTCGGCGACAGTTGTTTTAATTTGAGTTAAAATTGCATCGTGCACCGTCATAAGCCATTGCAATGATTCGGCGTCGTTAGAATGGCCGTCCGAAGAAACGCAATCCGGAAATGAATTCACTAGTTTGGTGTAAAAATAGAACCTCCACAGCAAGTCAGTATCTTCAAAGCCGAGCTCGTACAAAGTCGCCAACTAAAACAACATAATCAACACATAAGTTATTATTCGCGTGCCGAAAATGTTGGTGAAAAGTTTGCGTGGATCATTAATTGTTAAACTTCATGCAAAATGCATAAATCGATGGCATAGCGTGCATTGTATTTCACATGGCTCCTGAACTTTTACCATGAATATTGGAAGACTAAGAGTCATAGTATTGGTGTTGGATGACATAGTATTTTATCGAGTTCGTGTAACGTACGATAATATGTCATTCTGGACTTATTAAAAAACAGTCAAGTACAATTAAAAAAAAAAATAAAAATCATAACTTAATTCTATCTAGTAGTATGATTCTTAGAAAAATATGTTCGGACCCCTAAATAAGGCCCTGATCAAACCCCTCTTTGATGGAAAGCCATAATAGTTCCAGCATATTTGGTGACTAGGAAAAAGGCGTTTTATCGAAGGATTTGATAAAAGGATAATCAAATAATTATTGTCATATTACCTGTTTCTGCGCGGTTCCGGAATATTGATTGATTGTTTTGATCACTTCGGCCGTGTCACTGCAAACGACTAACATTATACCGGTGCGACTCATGTGCACTAAGACACTGGACAAGTACGAGCATTTCAAATCGTTTAACCGACTACGGCGTATGTTGGTGACCAGCAGTTGGCTGTAGCGACCTGCTCCGTAGTCTTGTGGGCCAAGTGGATAGCCGGTCTCGATGCGTAGTAGCCGGTTATATTCTTGGACTAGCTGAATGCGATCGTCTGGCGTCAATGAGGTATCGCCTTTGGATGCACATGATATGCGAGTCACGCCATACCAAACTGTGCTTGCCAAAACCAATATTACCCACTGCAAATGCATAGCAGCAACACCTACTGCGTGCAAAGTGGTGGCTGATGTACTTGGACGGTTTTGATTGACGTGCGAGGACACCCCCAAACACAAACTAGTACTTAGATAACGGTTTTTTTTCTGTCCCGTGAATTCGGATGAACGGTTAGGTGAAAACGGTGTAATACTTTTTATAGCGAAACGATCTTGCACGCAAAACAAATTGACGCAGCCGATTTACAAGACACAGTTCAACGATTGTAAATCTTGTAATGTTTGCACTTATCCGAACTCTGCTTAACCTGTGAATAACAAACAAAAGAATTAAGCGCATTTTTATTTATTCCTTTGTGTTAACTATGACTGTCTTCCAGCCACGAATAATACGTTTTACTCGCATCTAAAGGAACACAAATAAATAAATATAATGCAGAATTTTCGATAAACACTTGTATTTGTCATCTTCGCGCGTATACCCTCAGTCGTTACACCAGGTTAATGGTAAGTATTTGGGTTTTTTCACCGAGAACTATATGTTATTTGTTTACATTGTTATTTACAAAGATTTCCACACAATCTCGTCAGCCGAATACATAGTCGTATAACCCAAATGGTAGTTGACTGTTTCAGTAAGCTTCTTTGTAACCTCAATATTTACAATATTTAAATAAAAGATGTGCATCTTTTAAATAAATATATACCGAGTGATTTTTTTTATCATGGGCTACTCACCATCTCACTGTATTTAATAAATAATTACATTTTTTTTTCATAGTGTTAATATAATATGATCTCAATTGTCTACACATTTTTATATTCCTATCCCACTCCCAAACTAATAATTTTTATTTTTCAACTTTTGAAACTTAAATGGCAACGCATACATTTTGTTAACTTTTTAAATTGAAAATAATGTACTAAATATTTTGCTGGTCGATAACCAGATTTGGATAATAACTATTTTTTAATTTATTGAAGTTTCAAGTTTAGGGTAGGAGGAAATGCGGAACGTAGTATTATTTTTATCTGCGCCGTCCTAACTTTTAACTCTTATAACTTTAAAAAGGGAGGTTTAAAAATTAAAACTGATTATTAACCAGTCAACATTTTTAGTAAAATATTCTTAACCCTTTCGTTACTGACATCCTCGTACGATGATTCCACTTTAAAAATCGAATAAAATATCAGTCCGATATGTAAAAAAATTGTTGATTTTTTTTTTCGAAAAAAAAAATCCCAGGAACGAAAGGGTTAATTTATAAAGTTATTCAAATTTATACGTTACCACTTAAGTTTCAAAAGTTGGGTAGGATCATAAAAACTTGTGTAAATTTGAGATCACATTATATAAAAACACTAAAGAATATTAAATTATTAATTAAACCCTGTGAGATATTGAGTGGCCCACTATAAAAAAACCACCGTATATTCGATGAAATAAAGAAGTTAAAAAAATAACTTCCTAATAATTTTTTCCATTTTTTTTTTATTTAATGTTGTTATCGTTATTTTAACTTGGAAATATTTGTTTGTTTATATTTTAATATTGCCTTAATGGTTTCCATTAATTCTTTTGTATTGGTTAGCGCTAATTTTAGGATTCTACCGATGATATAGGTCTCGGTTTTCCCGTCGACGGTAACACGTTTAACCGTCCAAGTCGAATCGATTCAAATAGGTCGTTGAATTTGCTATTTTTCCCGGGAAAACCATATCACGGCTGTATAAAACCAACAGGCTCAAGTAACGGGGGTTTTCCCAGTATAAACAAGTATTTATTATTAGTATTGTACAGTACGAGTAGTAATAATTGAAAGCCGTTTTGCGGTCGGGAAATTATAGGTTGACTATGTAAGTGTTACGTCTCCGACGGTGCTGTAGGTGAATACACAAAACGTGTGCATGCGTGTCCATTGTTTAATATTGTATCCCAAGTATACGGGGGCGAGGTATGTTATTTAAAAATTTCGGGGTTATTCTTTAGCGGTAAGGGGTCGCCGGCGCCATTAAACTTTAATGCGTTTACGGTGGCCAGGTCGCACGCTAAGGATGAACACAGCTACTAGAGACACTATATAATTCACAAATACGCCAGTTACCGCCTACCGATACACGAAGATGTCCCCCCGTGCAGGTATCGGGTAGTTATTATCGTTGTGACCATTTAAAATATTCAACTATGACCTTATTCCGTTTAATAACGCTGCACGTTTCGAGCGTGCATAAAAAGAAAAAACTACCACGTCCATCAATATAGTCAGCACCAGTATTGGTTTTTGGTCGTCGAATTATGGGACGAAAACATACACAAACATAGAAAGAATTCGACGATTGGGAAAATGTATGTAACAGCAAATAATAATATCCAACAGTTTTGGGAATCTTAGTAAATAGCGATTTGCCCAGGAAATGGAAACAAACGATTACTATTTAATTTTTGTATTGTTTATGTTCTGACTTTCTTCAGTTAAACAGCTATACGAGCCTACGTGAATCGATTAATTTCATTACAGTCATCATTATTGTATTATGTCGTTCAATCTGACCTTCAACCGTATTATCTCAACCGAACCAATAAGATCCGTCCTATTCGATTCAATTCCCCAGAGCTTTTGAAGTAACGTTGGCCAATACGAGACACTGTGTCTATCAGCAACGGGAAGATTTGTTTACACGAAATCTTTCGTGGAAGTTATTCAAATCACTTACTTCCATTTTGCTCTCCTGTACATACTATCTATTCGTACCTTTATCATACTACATGTACTCACAATGCTATTGGACAGACCACCCTTGTGTAATTCTACCAAAATATACTATGACCTGTCCGATCCAGCTGCTGATTCGTCCGTACCTTTTTTCTAGATATAAAACACATTATTGCGCGTTAATGGTATTTAATGGCAGCAAGCCGTATACAAGGAATTAAGCACTACACTGGTCATTGACCAGATGAGTTTCCAAATAGTAGCTGTTATTCCGCAGTAACAAACACAATAACATGCGATCGTGACGTTTTCTACGATATTGTCTGTTCACTTAAATCTCGAATCTGACCACGCTTCGATAGGTTCGTGCTTGGCGGGTTGCTAAATATATCTTGTTTTTTTTTTTACGACCAATTATAATGAAAATTTATTAGTTTGTCCACCGGCAACGTGTGAGAATAGGATGAACAGATTTCTCTCTCTCTCTAACTGGCAAGATGCTGGCAAGTCGTCAGCGCGCAAACGGTAATAGTAATATTAATAATAATAATAACGTTAGGTTAGGTTATCGTCTTTGTAATAAATTTGTGTACGACGCGGTCGGTGCTTCCATAATTATTATAAATTATAATAACGACCGGTATGTAGGGCCAAGTCGGAGATTAGAACTAGTTTGGCTAGCGACGACCACATTTCGCATAATATCTCTGTCCCTTGGGGCGACAAAGCAACGACCGTCCTCCACGGTTTGGTCGGTAAACGGCAGGTGGTGAGAGCCAGTGTCGTTTAGCATTGACACGAAGAATATTTCATTAAAACAACACACATTGTACACTATGTCGATTATTATGCTTTATTAATAGTAATCATATTTTTTTAAGAAACGAAAAAGTCGAGACTAGTTGATTTTAATAACATGTAGAAACGAATTACGAATAACAAACAACAGCCCTAGAATTATTATGTCCTTAAAGACACTGTGTATTTTCCTAGGGGTCTTTAGCTTTGAGTGCCGAGGGTCTTTGACCCTCTAATTAATTAAAGCGTACCTATACTGTTACAATACAACAATACATGTTAAAGTTTAGGACGGGAGGTGGAGTGTGGTTAGCATTTTCTTTTCCGGTATTTTACAGAGCTTTATCAATTTTTGAAATTTAAATGGTAGCAAATAAATGCTGCGCTATTTTTTAAGGGGCAACGGATTGGCAATATTTGACAAAAATTAATCTAGTAACCATTTTATGTACGCCGACTAATTTTAATGTAAAACGCTTTTAAGTTTTTCCACTTATACTACTCTTTAAATTGATTTTTCTCCGAGTTATGGCGAAAGTTTGATAAAAATGGCCTTTTGTAGAAGACCAGTGGCGTAGTTACGGGGGGGGGGGATTAGGGTGTCGTATCCCCCCCCCCATGACCTTTTTTTTTTACTGGCCATAGGCTCAACAAAATATTTATGTACTTATTTAACATCATTATAGTGAAACCCCGAATCTCCTATGTACCTATATAGTTTATAAATATAACTAAAATAATAGAAGTCGATTGAGTTTTTTTTATTGCGGAGCGACGATGCACATCAACAATGTCGTCGTATAATGTACGTCAATAATCCAACAATATTATACTTGTGTAAATGCTCTGAAAATAACTGATGGATTTATACACGTTATCGGAATTTTCTTAACAACTTTTTGTCTCATTCGATAAACGGTATGTGGACATTAAGATTAAGCATGTGGTCAGTGGTAACAAATTACAATAAGCAGTGTGAGCAACTGGATAATAGTTGACAACAGTTTTCACTGTATTATGTATACTGTATAGTGTATTAAAACATAGTTGTGAATTGTGATACGTGAATCATAGTAAGTCAACTAGGTACACGAGTTTAGACTTAAGTTATTTTATTATTTAGTCGTGTCATAGAGAAAACAATTTTTTTTATAAGTCTAAAAATGGAAGGAAAAAGAAAAAAATGTAAAAATACTAGAAATACACTTTTTTCATATTTTTCAAAAAAAAATCGTTCTAATGAAAATAAAGAAGATTGTAATGAGGTAAGTATCTTTATCGTTTTATATTTTGTTTCATCACTCCAATTTTTGGTAATTTGGTTTATTTTGTAAAACAAGCAATATAAAAGCAATACGAAATTGTTTAGGTATTGTTGAAAAATTATACAATTTTTTCAATACTCCCAAACGAAATCATGTGTTATTATCTACTATCGAAAACAGTAATGTTGATCAAAAAAGAAAAACATTAAAAAGGCTATCTGCAACTCGATGGGTGCAAAGATACGATGCGATTCATGATTTCATTGAGCTTTTTAAGTTTGTAGTAGAAGCTTTAGAATGAATATCAGATTGGAAGGATTCGTCTGCTACGGATGCATCAATAATTCTAAAATCAATGGACTCTGAATTCCTAATTTCAGTTAATATTGTTCAGGTAAAAACAAAATTTTTAATTAAAAAGAAGGTATCTTAAGTCTATTGCAATTACCTGATGTATTTTTCAGCTAATGTTTTCATTTGGCTTACCGTTATGTAAATAATTACAAAAAACCAAAATTGACTTAAAAGAAGCCTCTCGCACAAGATACTGTCAATGAGTTATGTACATTATTGTTAGTTACATACTGTTATGTTTATTACAAAAAAGAGCTATGTACATTATATTATATTATATTATAAACAAAATAAATGTACTTAAAAATTAAGTAGTTTGTATTTTTGTGTGTACAAAAATGTCTATCCCCCCCCTAAGACAAATTCCTAATTACGCCATTGTAGACGACATTTTCCGGCGTATCTAATGGACGGATTTCAATTTTTTTATTTTGTTAATGAGAAGCTCACTATTTTTTTTTATGGGCGCTAAAGGCCCATTTTTTTATAAAACCATTGTAGGATTAGTTGGATTTATTAGAAAAAAAAACCATAACAAAAGTAAAAATATAAACGTTTAAAAAACTGAAATAAAATAATCGACCTTTTAATCCCCATAGAGAAGATGTTAAGCTTAATAACAAAACAAATTGTTTTGAAATCGGTTCAGTGAACATTAAGAAAGTGACTTCTTGTTTTAGTCTTTATTTGTATAAAATTTGGCGCTTTCCGTTCCCATTAATTCATTTTCTCTCGTTTTTAAGTCAAACGTTTAAAACAGGACGTATAAGAAATCCTCCTGTTCCATACTTAAAACTTTAAGAACTTTAAAAGTAATTAACCAAAACTCGTTATATCATCTTCAGTGTAAAAAGTTAATTAAATACCTATAGATGTACTCGTTTCAAAAGTTATCTATCTGGAAAACACTAAAAAAGGTAAAAAATATTTGATAGTTTTATAATATTTTACAAAAACAATAATAAAAATGTTTTCAAAAAGAAAAACTACCAAATTTTCATTTTATTTTTCTAGAAAATTAATGTCTTGGGTTATCATACTTATTACCAATTTTCCAGCTTGGCTATTGTTTTTTTTTTTTATATATTACAATATATTTATGCACGGTGTGTGTGTTGTGTGTTTGTCTCATAGCGTAAACAATATGATGTAGGAATGTTTTATTCATTTAACGTTATGTATGATACAAAGCTGTTGATAATTACCACGGAGATTCGGGGTGTACGAAAATTAATAATTATTGTCAGCCTCTAAGTGTTTTTCAATGTACATAAATACACTTAAATCGAGTTGACCGTGCTCGTACTCACGAATGGCTAATTAAAAAAATAAAAAAACACTATTTATCGTCGGGGCTAATGGAAAATCACTCGTATAATGTATTCCCATACCTAGCAAGTATTTCTTCTGCGTCATCTCGTTATTATTATTATTGTCTATTTGCATTGCGTTTACTCCGTTCGTGTCGGGTTCGCTGGACCGGTCTAATTTATAGCAATCCACCTGACAGTTTTTATAATATGCACCTTATACAGTGATTATTGTTATTATCATAATATAATATCCTCAATTTTCCGTTTACGCGTTCTATTTCGGTACGCGGCGAGCTGTCTATTTGCATACGGTATAAAAATAATGTCTTTAAAAGCAACTATTAATTTTTAGTATTCAAACAGACAGTTCCAGTGAGGAGTTTTGCAGTGTGGTTTTTTAGTACTCACCGTAATTTCTTTATTACTGGATCGAGTTTAATGGATCGGCTACCTGTAGATAATACTAATATGGTATAATTAACGCCAATCGGCTTTTGGTCGTATATGATACGTACAAATTACAAATGATAAATATGAACAATTGATAATTATGAACAGTGAAAAATGAAAAACCTAATACTAAAAACAAAATAAGATACTACACTAAAACAAGTAAATAAAATTCATAATATACAAAACAACTGACCAATAATAGACGATAGAAAAATCACATAAATACTTTAATAACATAATTTAAATAGGAAGTGGGTAGGTAAAGTAAAAATTTGTAGTTTAGGTCGACTCCTTTACAAACAGCATCATCCTAGCGAGCGGTACATTTCTGGAAAAAATTGGACTGTTTGTTATTCACATGAAAAATAATAACTTGTTTTCTCCGCTCCACGGAAAAACGTTGAATCATGTATACTAATGTTATCTCTTATTACTTATATTTTATCATTTATCTCTTATCACTTCTCTCTTATCAGTAAGACCCTACATTAACATTATACCATAGATAAGATAAAACTATCTAATTAAACGTTCTACATAAAAATATTTTCAAAACATAAAATAATTCACATCCTGAACACTATCTTTAAATTTATCTATCCTATTTGTACAAAACGTATATATTTTATTTTATTATAATTACATACCGTATATGATGATGTCACTTAGGAATATACATGTATGTATTTCTAATAATACGAGTGTATCACACATAGGTCGATATTGTGACGTAAATTCCTAAGTTACCATTATCCGCAAACAGCTGTGCTGTACTAGTATCAAACACTAAGCAATCTGAATTTAAAATTGCCTGTGAAACTCCTTGGTGTACACTTCTTGGGGTTGCTTCCCATGCCAAACGCCTTTGATGACCATTAAGTTCCAGACGATAAGCAAATTTTTCACATTGTTTTCGACTTCCAATTAACCGGAGTACAGCAAAAAACTGTTGATGACCATCGTATTTCTCTTGTTTTTCAAGCACCAACATGAAATGATGACCAAAACACGATTGCATCATTACCCAGTCAACGACTCCAGGAAGATTTATGTCTGTTGCTAAGAAAACAGTATCCTCTCCTTGTAAAGTTGTTATAGTTTTATGCGCGACCATCAGATGTCCCATCACTTGCTCCAAACCACCTTGCCACTTGCATTTTTCACCCGGACACGGGCAAGCGTATGGACCACGTTCACAAAGTTCTTCGTGTTCAATTTTTTCGGAATGTAGTAGAGACACGGGACAACCGGAAGACGAATATTTACAAGGGAACATCACTGTAGAAGCAACTTTTTCCATTGCCAAGTTACGAATACAACCAATGGGACCTCGACAGGTCGGACAGCAATTGTTCAGCTTCGGTCGACATGCACTACAAACTAAATGACCGCTTTGGCATTGTAGTATGGGTGGTAACATATGATCAAAACAAACGGGGCAATCAAATAATGATGCCAAATTCCCGGATACAATAGACGCTGACGAGTATGAACTAGAGCCATTACTATTATGAGTACTGTTTCCACCGCCTCCGCCACTAGGTAATAGAACGCTAACATTATTATTACCCCCGTTAGTTGTTGGATTACCAATAGGTGGTCCGCTACTATTTGATCCTCCTGATCCGCTCATTCTTGTTTCTTGCTCAGCCACTAAATGGTGGTTGTAATCGACGATACGGCTATTATTCGATAGGGGAAATTGTTCTCTGCTATGTAAAGATATCGAATAACTATTGATCAGTAAAAATAAAACTGCAATTATTGTGAACAACGTGAAAAAATGAATGTCGTAATAAATAAATCATAAATGATGCAACAGTTCAACAAAGACAATTAAAACAAATAAATCCAAGCAGACAATGAAAATAATTATGACAATTTTTTATTGCTAAGCAAAACACAAAACAACAAAAATAACAAATTTACGAAGCCAACTATATGAACTAACTATATTAGAGAAATGCGACGATTATTTTTCTAATTTAATTAACCATAATTTCGAGTAAAATGGTCGGATCGCATTGAAATTTTTTTTTAGCCGCAGTTTTAGACTCAATCGTTGAAAATTAGGCAGAAAAATCGTACATACAGATTTTTTTTATTACTGAAAAACTGTGTTTTTTAGAATTTATAAATTTTAGCATAAACATGCTATAACTTCCCAAACAGTTATCCAACCATGTCAATATTTGGCCACCTATTTAATGTACGTACCTTTACTAAGTTTGTCTACTTGTTTTATGTCTTTTTAAATTTTTTTATTACCATTTTTTTTATATTTAACATATTTAATAAAATATGTAAAGAATTTTACTTAATACCTAGTACATACATATTACATAGTAATGTTTCAGAATGTTTAACCTTGTAGGTTATAAATTTAAGTCAACATAACTTTAAAATTTAACGATTTAAAATAAATAAAAATAATACACATAAAGTCAATAAAAAATGTTGACTTCTCGTGGATCGAACAGTATAAGTGAAATAATACAATTTTATTAAGTATTGTTATATCATGTTTAACAGTTTATAACTAATAAAGTAGGTTCTCATCTATACATTTTAGCTTTGACGTTCTTTAAATATATTTTTTTTAACTAATGACAGTTAAAAATAATTCAGAAACAAAATATCATAGTAAATTTATGCACATTATGTAATTTAAATAAAAAGTGGTGTCTTAGTATGGCAGTATAAGTACTATAATTTATATAAATTAATTATAGCTTATAAAAGTTAAAAATGGCCTCTTTTTGCATATTTCCGCAAAGAAAAATGTAATCTATCCGCCAGTGACACTGGCTTAAGGCCCAAAAAAGCAAAAATAAATAAATAATTTTTTATATTTTTTAAAACATATTTTATTTTATTGTATGGGTGAATTGGAAATGTATAAGTGTTGATTTTTTTCTTTCAAGTTTAATTGGTGGATATTTTTTTGTGTGTCCTAATTTATTTAAAAACGTATTTTTTTTTTATTGATTGAATAAAATAATAAGCGAACAGTTATCCTTCGTTAGTATTTAAATTCTAGGTTTTTATTGCATTATGACTTTTGTATTACAAACAAGTTGCAACTAATGAATCTTTAAGCCAATAATATAATTTTAACACTAACCTAGAAAAATATCTTTGACGTGTTAACTATATATAAGATACATAGATACATTAATCATTTATAAATTTTAAAAGGAAAATAAAATATAATCTCATACTGATCGGTGGTGTCTGTGAACATACGGGTTTAACATTATTTTTATATAATATTGCGCGACATCTATGAACAGTATTGAACAATATATTGTTTTACATTGCTATCTATAATATTAGTATCAATAATGGTAGTATCACATAATAACCAGAAAAGAAACTTACAAAAAATTACATGGCATCTTTTGCGGCTGGGAGCCAGCATAGACCTATAAAGAAATATTTCTTTATCTAGTCTATGAGAGCCAGACTTTTATAATAGAATAAGTTCTGTAGCTAAATGCTAATTCCTGCAAAAACATAATGTCGGACGCTTATCACTGATAAGTTATCAGTCTCGGCCTAGGTTTCCCTTCTGGTTACTATGTGTTGGTATCGTTGTGATTCCAATGATTTTGTGTTATCGCAATTAACAATATTATTATTAATATAACAGCATAGTCCTTATATTACAATTTACAGAAGATTTTTACAATAATTAACGATGACACTAAATAAAATGATAATATATTTATTATACAACTAGGCCAGATAGAGAATCAGAAAGGGATTTGCGCTTCAATCGCTCCATTAAGGTTCGTGTTTTATGTGTATAAAGAAAATATATTATGCATCTGAACTATATTTCAATATAAACACAACTATCCGATCAATGCAATAGGCCACTTTTTATTTTATAGTTTTGGTGGTTTGCCTAATGTGAAAAACAATTTGTTGTTATCGACCAGCCTCCTGTTGCTGTTGTCGGCAAACACAGGAGACAAATCTTTTGCCCAAGGCGCACCGATAAGAGGAAATTACAGTAAGATAAAATTATTTTCATCATTTTTATGTACCATGTAATTTATTTTTTATTTTTTATTTTTATTTTTTTATCTACAAATTTATGTAAATAAAAAAATTAATGTTTTTAGATAATGATTAGGGTAGTTTCTTGCTCAATTCATTCTTGCATATTTTTTTTTACATTCAATGGTAAAGCCGTTCTTACAATAGTAATATACAACAATCAGTAACCGATTCATAGCCACTTAAAATGCTTGAAAGACACATAGTACATGTTATTGAACATATTGTGAACAAATACAGAATACTTGACTTGAGTATAATACGTTTATTACTTTGGCAATTTCTCTAACATAGTCGTTGTTTCAGGAAGGATATAGACGAATGTAAACTGAGCAGTCCACTAGCAGTCAAGTTTTTGAACGTCCATTACCGCCATAATCGTTTTCCGCACTTGAGCATTGCAAGTACACCGTCCATGTCGAACATACTACAAGCGTAATAACATTGTTACAATTTACATTTTTATCGTTTCCACGGTCGACTAATTTAATTGTAAATTCTTTCATAACTATTGTTTTTAGGTTATTAAACTATGTCAATTATTATTATATAACTTTTTTTTTTTTTATGAACAAGACAAGAAATATGTTTGTTCTATGAAAGAACTAAAAAAAAAATGAATCATATTTGATTATAATAGCAACCGAGGGATTATTGTACTGGCTATTTTATAGGATCGAGGACAAGAACTTTAAATTAGCCATTTTAGCTAGTTCTTGACTATTTATTGATTTAAAGAAAAAAGTTTCTAATAAACTGTTTTTTAGAACAATTTTTTTTTTTTAAAGTTAATTTATATTTGCTTACATTTTTTGAAACCTGTGTGAATATTTTTAATTAATTTTTTGATTATTTTTAAACAGAAATTACAATGTTTAATGACTTGTGACATTTGACCTTTTGCATAAAGTTTTGTTACAAAAGACACATATCATATTTTTTAAAAAGGCCAATCTCACCAAATCATATAATTTAAAAACTATAAATTCCGCCAATGTATAATGTTTAAAATGAGATACTAGATATTGTACATCTCATTTGTTATAAATTATAATATTACACTCCTAATGTGATTTGGTGATTAGTATTTGTCATTAGATGTATTTTTTAATTTTTTTAATTAATTTTTTTCAAGAGATAAAAATACTTGCAGATATTGATAAGATTTTTAAAAAACAACCACAGTAAATAAAAAATAAAATATTAATCTTTTTTTAAATAATACAATAAGTCTATGTTGATTTAGAAAAAAAGTATTTCTTATTTAGAGGTAGTATTAAGAATTGGTTATTTGCTTTTCGTTCCTTTAACAAAATTCAAAACAACGGCTGGAAATTAACGTGCTAATTAGGTTTTGTCGAGACAAAAATGCAATTGAATTTGATAGTTTAAAAAAATAAAATCTTCCACTCTAAATCGGGGGTGTGAAGAGTATCAAGTAAATGTTGTTTTAAGATATTTTTCTGATAACTGTTTCATAAAAAAAAAATTTATTCAACCTGACCTTATTCTTTAGCATTTTGCAAATTTAAAAATCAAACAATGTTTTCTTAGTTTTTTTTTTAAGAAAATCTTTTCAACTTTTTACCTATCAAAGTACAATTTTTATATGAATATAAATTACTTACTTGTTCGTTGAGGGGTTGATGCCTTATTTAACAAAAAATTACTTTCTACTTTAACATGTCACTTATCTATGTATTTTCGGATTTTGTGTATGTTTTTTTGAAGGATTTTTTTTTGTTATTCTACTTGTTTCTTTTTTTTGTAGTTATTTCCAGTTGGAAAAAAAATAAAGCTAGTGTTTAAATATCATTTTTTCTAATTTGAACGCATTCTTCAAGTAAAAAATATAATAACTGTTTATAACTATTCTAAATTGATGTCGTCACAATCTTAAAAAAAACTACTATTTAAAGAACAACATATCATATTTACAAGGTATAATTTCTCTAAAAAAAATTGGTAATATATTTACTTAAAAATTAATCACAAAAAATTCTGTTTGTTATGAAAGCCGTTATTGGCCATTTTAAAAATATATAATACTATATTTTTAAATAATATTTTTTACCAAAACTGGGTTCAAGATTTTTAACCTGAGCAAAACACATTTTAATCTAATTAAATAAAATACAAATGTATAAATACCTACAACTTCATTGTTATTCAAACTATAAGGTATTTTTAATACCTAGAGAGTTAAAATGTATTAAAAATACAACATTAATTAACGGTCTAAAGAAATATGTATTTCAACCAACTTATTATTAGCGAATTGTTACTCGTTTAAGGGGATTACATGTGGTCTGTTTTTAAGGAGTTTTGTATAGGCAATATTTAAGAAAAAAGCGGTTTTAATAAATTTCAGCCATGTTAAATAATTTTCCGGTTAATTAGTTTAAGTTCCAAGGTATAAAAACGTGTGCACTTTATTTATAAGCTATATACATGTGACGTATTAAAAAAAAAAATTATTTAACACATTTCAATGATAAAATAATATTGTCTTTTACAACTTCAGATATAAAGCTATAAAACTGCTCTCTCCGTTTTATTCGACTTTTTTCATTAAACAAAAGAAAAACATCAATTTTACCAATAAAAAGCGTGAAAAGTTTGTTTATTTTCATTAATGATACAAATATAATAGGTATATAATTTTATAATCTTTGGCAAAACAAAAAAAAAGTATGACTAACATTATTTTAAACGATAAAAACACAAAAACCGTGTAACACACACACACAAAAGAGTACAAAAAAAAGAAAACCGTTGTGTGTAAACACACAACTTGGTGTACAAAAAAATATTACATTATTAATAAACTTATAAATCAAACAATTATGTTGTGGTCGAACACGCTTACATTTCCAAACTTTTTGGGAAAAAATAATTGTTTTAAAACATAAATCTCGATAGTATTTTATAGAGATAATAAAAATAGAATACATCAATACAATACAAAATACCATAATCCATACAGTACTTTTCAATTGTATTTTATAGAAATCCAATTGGGTTACGTTATAAAATATATAAACTTATCATTTGTTATAATATAATATGTGTATATATAATTTTACATTTAAAAAACAATTCATTTCCCAAAACAATCTAAAGTATAAATCAAAATCGTCGAGCATAAATATTAACCCCAAAAAAATAATATGGATATTAAAACGAAAACCCAATTTAAAAACATTTTTTTTTAACGAAACAAACCCGTGTTGTGTTTTATATAAATCCACACCAAAAAAAAAACTTGATACACAAAATATGATCCTAACGTGTAACTATTTTTATTGTTAAAAAAACTACTTTTTTGTGGTAATTTTGAACAGACACTTGTTCAATAAAAAATGATAATTATTATTTTTGCACGGTTACCTACATTTATTTTTTTTGGTCGTCTTTGAAAATGTACAAATCAAAATCAATGCAGTTTTCAAAAAAAAAGCTTAGATTGACTGGTCGTTTCATCAATCGATAATGGTTGTTTTATACAAAACATTTATACATAATAAATCAAAATAATTTGAAAAGAAAAAAAAATGTACATAAATACACCTATATAATATATAATGTTATAATACTTTATACTTAATAATAATAGATATAATTCTATAATATTATAATAATTGTACAAATATACTAAGACTAGTAACATTTTAACGCAAAAAAAGCATTTTACCATTTTGGGGGGGGGGGGGGGTGGGGTTTTATATATATAATAATAATAATCGAAATAACAATATCAAAGTATATTATTACCGTACAAGCTGACAAACAAAATAATTGTGAACAACATGAATATTATGCAACATACGATTTTGGTTTCGGTTAAAAATGTACACACAAAATACTAAAATCATTTAACCATCATACCAGTCTCGTTATGTAGGAAAGTGTAAACTATAATAATAATAATACAAGTATGTGATTTTAATTATCAAAGTATAATACGTCTGGGAAATAATAAAAATTAAATCAAAACAATTTTTCAAACTCTTTTTTGACGAATGTGCACTCTTGTTCTTTTTTTTTTTTTTACATCAGTTCTATATGTTGCTTGTACGCGCGTTTGGTAACTACTACTTAAATATTAAATAATAATAATAATAATAATAATAAAAAAAAAAAATAGAATTTCAAAAGAGTTACAGCGCTTTTTCTGCTTTAGTTTTTTTTTGCATTTTAATATAAAAAAAAAAAAAACCCCAAAAATATATAATTTGTGCGATCGATTATCGTTATTGTATACAATCGTTATGAATAATTATAATAATAATAATTAAAAAAAAACAGTAAAAACAAGACTTGGTGTGAAAGATACGGACGACGACGAGCTTCTTTGCGGTTTATCCTTACAAGAGAGCGTAACAGTAAATGCCGTCTTCTGGTCGAGTGGCGAACCTTTTGGCCGAATTAAATGTAAAAGAAATTTTCATAGTCGTTCATGGTGCTTTCTTCTTTGCATTGGTCGTTCCAACTGGTTTCAATCTGGAATTATAAGAGAAAAATAAATTTAAAAAACTTTAAACACCAAAAACTAAACAATATCCAGTCCAATAGCAAAGGCCAGTCGATAAAAATTTTAATCAGCCGTTCAGATGTTTTTTATAAGTTTTATTTCTTCTGTTTTCTGGCACATTTCCTCACACTGGATGAGCTTTTGAAAAGAAATCGCCTAATGCCGTTTTTATGTTAAAATATTTTTTAACAAAATTTGAAACGCATTTATTTTTTTTAATCTTAACTATTTACTTGAGCCAATTTCAACAGCGAATAAAATTACTTGTTTAAGTATGCAAACGGATACTTACAAATAATGTTTATTATTTCTTTGCTTTTTATTAGGACATCACAAGAATAGTTATTGTTATAAAATGTATGATTCTTTGAAATCATTTAAAGTCTAAATTTTGGAATGACCAGTTGTTTAACGTAAATTCAAAATGAACAAATTATTTTACTGCTAAAGCATTTTCAGATTGAGCTGTTTTATTTTTTTAAATAGCTTGACAGCTCTTTTTAGGTAGTTAAATTTTTTCCTTTTGCATAATAGTTTATGTACACCATCCTACAAGGATCTTTCTAAAGGATACACCTGTAGGTAGGGATTAATAACGATGTCAGTATGAGTTTTGCTGCTTATCCGAGTTAAGCCCACAAAAGATTCCCGTTTTTGGTTTGATACGACACCCACATATTGTATTATGTCGGTCAGAGATAAACAAAAATTACAACAAAAAATGTGTTAATAAGGCCCGCCTTGTGCCGTAGTATACACACAGTGGCTTGATGCAGGGATTTTTTCAGATAAGTAGGTACCTGTGTTTAAAATATTTTTTTAAATAGTCTCAAGAACCGCTCAGCATAGCACAACAGCACAGCTGCTGTCGTGGGGCCGTTGTAAATATTTGTGTACCAGAAACACCTTGGCCGACTCGAGGAGGGATTATAGGAAGATTGCTGTAGTAGTAATTATTGTGTTTGCCTATGGATCACGTTATTAAACGCCGAGATTCGGTCGAGATCACTGGCGTCGATCCTTCTTACCTCGTCTGGCCCTTTTACTTTGTTTCGAACAAACAAAAAAGGCCGACCATCTGTCCGGAAGTGTGTTAATGGCTTCCTCTTTCCACTAATACCGTTGCACGTGTGCGCCCGCCCGTTTGTTTTCTTAGCCCGGTACAAATTATGAGCACACCACTTTGTATGGCACGTATTAAAAGATTTTAATAATAATAATAATAATAATAAAATGCACAGAGCAATAAACGTCGACGGTCCGCGACCGGATCAAAAGGCATTCCTCGGACACGTGTGCAGAAGGAGAGAACAAAATAAACAAAATCTGAACGTCTGTAGAAAAGATGCTGCTTAGGCTGTCTTAGGCGATAAGATACGCGTGACGACCACTCACTTTTTTGGATTTGTAGTCGACGTTTCTTTTCAACAGGAAATGGTAATCGCAATCGTACGGCCAAAAGCATTGTACCGTCAACGGCGTGTCGTCGTGGTGGAGTTTGCGCTGGTATTCTTCGGATTTAGACACCTAAGTACAAAAAATTAATATTAACTAGACATGAAAACCACCAATATGGGCGAACACGGGTAATTATTGCACGAAACGGTATAGAAAAGAACGAGCTGAGGAGGTGTTTTCCAGATGTGTGTACCCTATTGCATCCCACCCATCTTTAAACAATTTTTTTGTCTAGTTTTCCAGTGTTAATAATGAGAGTGGTAACAGGTTCGTTATGCGATAACGAGTGGATAGCTAATCCAAAATTGTAGGGGGGGGGGGCGATTATTTTTACCAGGACTTACCTCGTACAACGAGAACTGTTCCACTTGTTCTTTGCTGCTGTAACAGTTCAAGAGGATCCGGATGAGTTCGTCGACGGTGGTCCGTTCGGAGATCAGCAAGCTTTTGTACTTAGACTGGAAAAATAAAACACAAAAACCATAAGTACACTACTCGGACGGGTTTTTTGGTGTTTTTGGGAAAATGGCAACGTGGAAAACATACCCCCGGCATCAGTTCGCCGTCGTAGATCTTCACCAGACCTCCTTTTTTCGACTGCAGACAAAACCTGAGAGAAAAAAGCAAATCACAACGATTAAGCTAAAGAAAACAATATACCCAATTCACAGGGGAAGGCGTAGGAGAGGCACTCACCTGGACTCGCCTAGCGGATGACACGACTGCAGCACAGCGGGACAAGACTCGTTGTCCAAAACGAACACCGTCCTTAGGCCTTGATAAACAACACAAAAATACATAACAATGTTAGTTAATAACATAATATGTACAGGAGAGCAAACGATTGTGGACAAAAATAACTGTATTTATAGTATAATAAAAAATACTAGAGACTAAACACCGCTGGCGCTTACCGAGTTTCCTGAGGTTTATCTCCATGGTCATGTAAAACAAATTTGGGTCCCTGTGACGCATCCGGTACTTGTTCAACAGTATGGAGATCACCTCGCTACAAGTAGTGCTGTAGGCCAACCCGAGAGTTTTGTACTCGAGATCGGCACGAAGACATTTCGTGTACACTTTAATGGTGGCCTGAAAGAGAAAAAATAAAAATAAAAATAGGTATATGAGTGTTTTTCCAACAGTCGGTAAATTTGAAACTACTCGAGTAATTGGAAAAATAGGGTAGTCAAGTGAATTAGTTCAATGTAAATCAAGTACTAATAGATACACACAATTAAAAAAATTCGGAATACGAAAAACCTTGAAATAAGCAAATTAAATTTGTTAATTTGGACTCTTCGAAATTATACTCAAATTTGTAGCTGTTTCCCGGCCCATTTAACAATTCTACTCTAATTTTTCAGTCAGACAGCTTGTCTCTTAAGTGGTCTATCATTAAAAAAAAAAATATGTTACTTTGGGTAAAAATGTTTTTTGTAAACGCCATGTATTTTGGTTGGGTATACTTATAAAAAAAACAAACAACTGGTACGCGTACTTAACGTCAGGCATTATCATTCAGTTTTTTTTCACCGGTTATTTACAATGTCGGGTCTGAGAGTTATTTTAAAAAGAACAAAAACGACTATTTGATATACAGAGTGATTCACGAAGGATAAGACACTCGTTGTCTCCACAAATAATTTCAATTTTTGTTGTATTTTTTTTTCAAAACCTATTTGCTTTTGTCGTTTTACAATATTATAAAACATTTACCTTTTTTAAAATTTTCCACAGCTTTATCGACTAAACTTCAATGTTTATCATACATTTTAAACTTGAAGTGAAATTATCCACAACCGGTTATCGACCAGTCAAGTATGTTCGGCAAAAATTATTCTCAATAAAAAAAGTTTATTAAATGTATACATTGCGCCTTTTAAATTGTCAAGTCTCTGGATAATATTTGCTAACTTTAAGTTTTTACCTTTTTCGAGATTTAGTTTTCGTTTGTGTTATTTTACAATATATAAAATATTCAAGTTTTTATTTTATTTTTTTTTTTGTATTTTTTCCGAAAAATTATTTTTTTAAAGACAAAGCGAGTGTGTCTTATCCTTTATGAATGATCACTGTCTGATAAAATCCAAACCGGGTCGTGCCATCGCGCTTTAGGGTTTATAATCTCGGTAAAAAATCAAACATAAAATATAATATCTCACACGCGTTAATACAACATTATACTAATGTACGATTCTTATGTTTTTTATTCTACGTCTCGTCCCGTCCTTCGTGAGGGGAGGGGGAGGGGAGGGGAACAAAAAGAATGTGTTAATTACACGATTATGTCGGCGGAACCAAACGGTCAACCTAACCGCGTGTGCTCGCGCCTTCGAGGGTGTTTATTAAAAAATATTTCCTCACAGTCTGTCTTTCACTTGGGTCTCGGCTGCTCGGTCCACGAGATTATTATCAAATAACAACAACAGCCACACACACACACCATACATACATATTATTAAAAAAAAACCATTGACGTCGAGCCGCTTGTTTTTGTTAATAACAGTAATGAATCGTTTCAAAAACAAAACGACGGCGTTATCATCAGCCCTAAACGTCCCCCCCCCCTCCAACATTATGCCGTTGAAAAAACCCCATCCACTGTACCCCTCTGCCCAAGAAAGCGAGACACTGTCTGTTTAGGTGTACACGAGTAGAGTGTTTTTCTCAGCTGACCAAGCACGTGGGTGTGTATATAGTTATACAGAGCGTAGGTGCTGCTCAAAGATGCACGTCCAAACGGTTGATTTCATTTCAATAATTTGCCAATGCCTAATGCTAATGTCCTGATAGGAATTCGGATGGAAAAGCCTTAGAAAAATGTAAAATAATACAATTAATAATTGTAAACATTATCACTCGGTAATGGAGATTTGTTTCTACTCGGCGTTTAGTTTTACACGACTCAAGCATGCAATACGAGAAGTGTTCATTGTATGAGGTATGCTAAGTTAACCATGACTTACCACCGGGTTGGATATGTTCAGCGAAGAGACACTGGAACATCTGCTAGACATGGCCGGCTCTTGGCCGACAAACGAATTTGATGTGGACACGATGCTCATCGTGTCGGAGCTCTTGGCTCGGTGCACGTGCTTCAACATGGTGAAGTCTCAGGTGAATTATTGCTTGTCTAACACCTGAAAGAACAATTCCAAATATTAAGCTAAATCTATTTGTTTTGACCGTTTAACATGTTATTGCTGTATGGGGCGCGAGTAAAAGAAAATGCAAACAAGACCCGCGCCGCTCAAGTCAATAATTTGTTTGTTTTCTATAAAGAAATTCCTTCGGGCCGCCAAGAGAAACGGAATGGTCAGTACAACCGAACACCCTGTCCTTCGGTTTGTGATTGTTGTTTGGTTAATAAAAGGATATTATATTAACGTATAACGCTATGATTTATAAACACAAGCAAAAGGAACGTTTTTTTCAATAACCTTTGGTAAATATTATAATCCGCCTAAGAGTCTGCGGGCCAGCTGATTTTCTTTGGAAATCAGTCTAAAGAAAAAAAATCCCTAAAAAAAAAAATTTAATATAAAATTATAAATGATCAGTCTGGTTAATGACTATTTGCTTAAAAATTTAACAAAATCTTTATCCGTTTAACTGTCCCTTGAGGCTACAATCTTTGGGGTACATTCTGGTGAGTTGTAATACATCCGTCACACGTATACACTGATAATAAATTCCTGCACACATTGCCCCCCCCCCCCAAAATGGCGCCTATGTGATCTTAAACACAACAATTATTAAGTGTTTTTTTTTTAATGAGGATTTTTTGCACTCTGCCAAACGGATCGTGTTCGCCTGATCTGGTGGCGGCACAAAATAATAAAAAACAAATTCGCTGATGTTGGCGCCGAGAACAATAAAAAAAAACAAGTAATAAAACTGATTTAAATAAAATCTAATGGTTGCAGAATTTATTTTCGGCTGACCCAAGCAGCAGTGCTCCTCTCTTGGGTACAATAGATACATTATGTATAACGTTACACATGACCGACGCCGAGAGACGATATTATGTAGTCTTAAGGTTTGGTTTTTTTTTTTGTCGGTGTGAAAAAATGTGTAAAAGCGCACCACCACGTGACCGGCTTGGCAAAAACCGTGTTGTACGAATATTATCGTCATATACATATATATATATTGTCACTCGATACGATTTGTTCACAAACGACCGAGCACATGTGCACCGAACATGTGTGTGTGACCTTTGCATGTATTGTGTCGTAGGACAGAGCACAAAAGGCGCTAAACGCAGAGCAAAAGAACAAGACCACATTTACACTCCCCGGTGAATATTATTCTTGTGTAGGCACACAGTGGGACATAAATCAACGGCAAACCCGTCGTCGACCAACTACTTCATCAATAGAAGGCAAACCGCAATTTGTCCAGAAATCTTCGGTCGGCCGAGTCCGAACAACAACAAAAAAGGGTTTAGTGAAAAATTACATACTTAGGGTTGAGTATCTTCTATCAGCAAAGTTGGCGATTCTCTATTTGCTTGAAAAACAACTGGAATGGAATTTGAAGAGATAAAGAGAGAGAGAGATACAGAGAGGAAACCTAATGTTGTCGAAACGGAAGTGATGAAGTGATTGGATAAAAGAGACCAAAAGACAATAGCCCAATGCCAAAGGACTAGGGTGATATTTTCAAGTGTTAAGAACAGGAAGACATATTTTGGTTGATTGATTAACACAAGTGAAGGCTGAATGAATAGCGGCAGAGAAATTGAGTCGAAGAATGGACGTTAATCGTCGTTAAAGGAGACCCGTTGGGTCTGAATAGAAATCCGGCTGAGCAATCGTTGGCTATGTTAGGTTAGCCTAAGTCGAATATTATCAACAGGTGTTGTTCTCGCAGTAGAAACCGCATTAATTTCGAAATGTACAAAATATAATGACAACATTAGTTACAAATAATTTCGCGAAACAAAGTAATGAATTTTTAACCGTTAAGTAATTTTTTTTTTTATAAATATAAATCATTAAGGGCGGACACCGAGCCCAGTAGATAAATTGCTGAAAGTCACGTGATATTCTAATTTAGTGTCTGGCGATTTTTTAATTCCCTTAAGTACATAAAAAATAAAAAATATGCGCGACGACAAACCGCAGTAATGTTCGAGCTAGACCTAAGTATATATATTTATTTATATATATATATATATATATATATCACTAAGCTATGATTAACGAGAAAGCATAATAATAATTATATAATTGAAAACCATAATATTATTACTATTGTCGATCCACGGTGGAAAAATAGTTTTCAAAAAGGACGGTTTTACTTTTGTAGGTAAAATGTGTAGGTATTTTTTTTGTGTTAAATTTGAATTTTTAATTACCATTAATCACACATTAGCCAACCTAGTCGACCGGACTAGCATGATTGATCATGTTTCTTTTGTCGAGTGCAGCTCAGAGGCGATCGGTGCTATACTTAGGTGGTATTTTTCGGGCGGTAGGCTTTATCTTGTGCGACTTAATGACTTTATGATGATTAATCGGCGCGGAATGAGAATCTCGTCAATAGCTCTCTTAAATAATTATTATACCATTAATATTACCGCTGATGGTCAGTAAATACCAAAGTCTGTGGTATGTGTAAGTATACACACATACCCTTCTGTGTAATGTCCTTTTTTTAAATACTCTAGTCGTATAAAAAAAAACATATTTCATTTTCCCGGCGTTTTAGTAGTATCCTTAGTAAACTTATAGGTACCGCCAATTCCATTAACGTTCAGTAAGGGTATCTTTCTAATCGCCAAAGATTGAGACGTCTAAATAAAACAGAGTCGGTTGTATATATACATATATATATATACATATAGACACCAAAAGTGCAAGTTTACAATTTACAGTGGGCAAATAAAAAGGTCGATAGCCTAAGTACACTACGCTAGATATAATAAATTAATATACAACGAAATGTGTTAAGACTTCTAGTGTTGACTTCTTGAACCATTGTGCTCGTTTTTTAGGGATTTTTCTTTTTTAATATTATTAGAAATAGTTAATATATTTTCGAAAATCTAATTGTAAAATATGACATATAAATTTGACCGAGCCATTTTTTTTTTGATTCGGTCGAGGTGGACTTTTTTATCTAGTTCATTGATCCAATACACCAGAGAGGATGTCGCTAATTCAATTTGTATACATATATGGAATATATTTTTTTATTGCCTACTCCCGCCTAAACCGTGTTAATATATTATTATAGTGGACTTGTTTTTATTAATACACACTTGGTACTCGGCAGCAGCTGATGTACAATACCTGCATAATATCCTTTGACAAAAGCCAAGGATAATTTGAACAGTGTATAAAAAATATTAGGAACAGGAAACCGTATTATTCGAGGACACAAAACGGGAACCCGCATCGTCTTAAAAATCTCTAATCTTATGTACACACAATAATAAACGGTATTGGAAATATATACATGTACTTTGATACCGGCAAACACACATCAAATGAGGAAGAGAAAAAAAAAAGAACAGGACAATGATAGATAATACCAATAATAATCGATATTCACACACACACTTCTTATTGTGAGTACAATTCTCCTCTCTCTCACTTCAATAATACACTACTACTACCTGGGATCTCTGGACACCCTGTACAATATATAATGTGTAACGGTTATAATATTATTGTGTATTATACTTACTTATCGTGTACACCTTGTAAAATACACATACATATAGGTATAGTATGATTGTATAGTGTGAAAAATAACCCCACACACCGGAATAGAACGACATATTATTATCATTGTGGTATGTACAAAAACACGGTGTGGTGGTTTTTATAATATTCTTGTAGAGTCTTGTAATAATAAGGATAATGATAAAAATATATGATAATGCCCGGCATCTTATGGACCCCATCGGAAACGACATCAAACGTATTCCAAAAGACTTGTGCTATTCTCGAACCGACAGACTCCACGCGGTGTTTATGACAACAGCTAAGTTTTATTTATTATTATTATTATTACAATCTTTTTTTTTTTTTTGTTATAAACACCCACAAAAGCAACCTCAAACAGACTCGGTTCGGCTACTACAAACAAACAACGATCCGAAAAAGAGCGCATGCTTTGAGAAAAGATTCCAAAAATTTGGCACTCTCATTTTCAAAAAACGGTTTTTATTCGACTATGCATTGCGGCTGCATCTGTCGATCGATCGCCAAAAACTGATTTGCAAATAAAACCAACCAAAAACCAACAAAATGAATACAAAATTGGACTTACGAACAAACACTTGATACAAAAATACTAACTGTTTAGTTAATTAGTTGTTTAGTTTGTTTAGTTAGTCAATAATAATTCATAAGAGTTAATAGGCAAAATAAATAGTATTTAGTATCTAAACACAATGAACTGATTTTTTTTTTTAATTTTGTCAAGAGTAATAAAAAATAAACGCAAAATGTCTAAACCGTGAACTTAAAATAAAAAATATTGAAACATAAACTCACTGAGAAAATCTTTTTCTGAAAATGTACAAAACTACATGCCTGAAATTTGTATTTAAAAATATTTGTACGTCATATTGTTTGAGTGAATTTTAATAATTCAAAATGTGTGCTGTATGGAAAACTTGGAAATGTCTACAACGTAGTGGCGCCAAAGTGTCTCGAGGTTTTCTATAGAGCCGCTCTTTTTTTTTGGTGGAATGTCGAAATGGAGAATTTCTGTTTCCAATACCCTGTACTTAGGCCGGGCTCACGGTCAGAGTACACACCAAAGCGATTTTATCGGTTATCCGTGTCGATAATAATTACTACAAAGCCGGCTCGTTTGAAAAAATATTATTTCATAGGCGGGCCCGTAAGTTATTATTATTGTTTTACATATAATAATAATATGTACCTACTATTATCGCAGACAGTACCGTTCTTATTAAGTATCACATCTCAAGTAGTATTATCGTCAAACACCAGCTATTGAAATACACACGGCGGCTTATCAGTTATCAGCTCAGTGAAAAAGTGGTGGGGGGGAGGTGGGTATAGCCCCTGGACTCGTTTAACAAGGCTCTCACGATCCGGATACGATTCGAATGATTTAGTTTTTACACAGCGTTATACTGGATACTGTCCCCTAC